AAGTGCAAGTTTACTCTGGGTTCTTTGGGTTTTTTTTGTGTAGGGGATGAGGGAAAAAGACTTTCAAGATTTTATATCAGAGGAATAGTGCTTTAGAAAAGCTGAGCTCCAGAAACAAACACTTTTGAAAGAACTGTTTCCCATTTACTTTATTGACAGAACCCAATCTCAAGCACTGTATAATAATATTTTCCCCAATTTTTCTTTCTAATCTCTTATATCCCTAGTATTTTATCTCTGTGGTCAAGACCTCCCTTTCTATTTCATAATTGCACTGTAGTTTTCCCTCTGAAGCTAGAGAGAAATTTCCACTTTCTATGGTAAGCCATTTCCTCCCTCTCTGCAGAACTGATGGATCTCTGGCCATTCCACTTAACAAGTGCTGCCTAGACACACCAGGGGAAAAAAGAAAATAATCTGAAACAACAGGCTTAAGCTGAAAACAAACCAGTAAATTGGTAATGAATTCCCATAAAGAAAAGGATAAATGCCCCTTTTGTGTGCTTCTTTTCTAGGAAGTAAGAACACATAATAGCAGCCTGCATCCAGGGGAACTGGATTCTGTTCCGCTAAAGATAAGGAACTAGAAACACAGGGATGTCAGAGAAGCATGCTATGGTTGCAATGCAGAGCCACCAGAGAGGAACAACTCTCCCTTCAGTCTCTCATTTCATGCAGGAGGTCACCACTGTCACTGTTTCTAGCAAAGATGCTAGGACAACCACCACCACTCTTCCCAAAAAGCCATCCTTGACTGCTGCTTGTCTGCAATGGCCCCAGCAGACACAGCGCAGAAGGCACCCCCTGTAACCCGCTTACATGTGACTGGGCTGGTGGGTAATCTGCAAGTCAGCAATCTTCTATTTGCTTCCATCATCCTTTTCTGCTATTCTCAGTTGCATAAGGTCTGATAGTTCCTTGTTCCAGCTACTCCAGTCCAACAAAACACTCTAATTTTGAGCAAGTTAGCACTTGTGGGAAAGACAACAGCAAAATGATCAACTGTGTAAAGTGGTACTTCTGTGATCACAGAATTGTGTAATAGTTTGGGTAGGAAGGGACTTTTAAAGGTCATCTCATCCACTCCTTCTGCAATAACCAGGGACATCCTCATCTAGGTCAGGTTGCTGAGAGACCCATCCAGTCTGGCCTTAAATATTTCCAGGGATGGGCCATTTGAAACCTCTCTGGGCAACCTGTGCAGGGTTTCACCATGCTCACTGTAAAAACTGTGTTCCTTGTGTCTAATCCAAATCTACCCATTTATTTTAAAAGCACTCTCCTTGTTCCACTGAAAAAGACATACTACAAAGCCTGCCTTAATTTTTCTAAAAAGCCCTGTTTTTTGCAAAAATGGAGCACCTGAGTCCTCTCTTTTCCAGGTTGGACACAAACTCTCTTAGCCTTTCCTCACTGAAAGAGGAAAGCAAAGGTGCTTCCATGCCTCTGATCCATTTTTTGTGGCCCTTTTCTGGACTGATTCCAACAGTCCTCCTTCTTGTGCTAGGGACCCCGGAGCTGGATGCGTCAGATGCCTTCCAGGTAAGGTTTCACCACAGCAGAGCAGAGGGGCAGAATCCCCTCCCTCACCCTGCTGGCCACCCTGCTTTGTATGCAGCCCAGGACACGTTTGGCTTTCTGGGCTGTGAGTACCCATGGCTGGGTCATGTCCAGCCTCTCACCCACCAGCAAGTCCTTTTCACAGGGCTGCTCTCGAGCCCTTCAGCCCCCAGTCTGGACTGATAAAGGGTTGTCCAAACCCAGGGGCAGCACCTTGCATTTGGCCTTTCTGAATCTCATTAAGGTCCCACAGACACACTTCTGGAGCTTATGCAGCTCCCTCTGGATGGCATCCTGTCTTCAGTAGAGTCACCGCACCACTCAGCTTAGTGCCATCTGCAAATTTGCCGAGGGTGCACTTGATCCCTTTGTCTATGTCATTGATGAAGATGTTAAATAATACTGGTCCTAGACCCTTGAGGGCACCACTTGCCACTGATGTTCACTGGGACTCTGAGCCATTGACCACTACTCTCTGGATGTGACCCTTCTCGTCCATCCAACAGCTGATCTGCAGAATCCATCTCTCTCCACTTCAGGAAGAAGGATGTTACGGGGGACCATGTCTAAGGCCTTACTGAAGTCCAGATAAATGACACCTGCAGCCACTCCATCACAGAAGGGCACCAGGCTGGTCGGGCAGGACTCACCCTTAGTGCAGTCGTAGTGGCTCCCTGTCCCCCATAAGCCTTAGCAGAGCTTCCAGGAGGATCTGCCCCGTGATCTTCCCAGGCATGGAGGTGACACTGAAAGGCTGGTAGTTTGAAAGGTCCTCTTTTCTATGCTCTTTAAAGATGGGTACTCCTTTTTCCAGTCACCTGGGATTTAACATGACCTTTTAAATATCAAGGAGAGTGGCTTGGCAACTACATCAGCCAACTCCCTCAGGACTCTGGCATGCATCTCATCAGCATCCATAGTCTTAGGTATTTTCAGGCTCTTCATGACCCTTATCATCTCTTACAACTTACTTCTCCATTCCCTGCCTAGCAGTCCATCTACTCAAGAACTGTGGGAAAAAGAGACCCACAAATGAAGACTGAAGCAAAAAAAGTTAAGTAGCTCAGCCTTTTCTGGTCTTTTGTTACCAGTTTGCCAGTAATGTTCATTGGGAGTACACTTCCTTTGACCTTTAAACCAAACTGTTATTATTGTAAAGCTGTTGATGAAAACTAACACAAAGTGGATTGCCTGTATAATTTCATAGCTAGCACATAGCTACGGTAAGCTTTCATTAACCTCAGTTTTACTGTAAGGAGGACATTTTGCGTACCCCTTTGAATTTCTGTACTTGTAACAATACTTATTCAAATTATTTACATAATCATAAATTGGCAACTAGACTGGCGTAAGTTTTTCTCAAGAATAGTACATAAGCCCTTTAAAACACAAAGGAAAGACACAATGCTGTTACCAGGACAGTTTTCCATATCCTCTCCTACAAGCATGCCCAACTCAAGACAAACATTAGCTACAATTCCTCATACAGTTTCGTGGTCAGCATAAAGTAGAAAATGTTTCATACGGCATGTAGAATAGAATCCCCTCACCTGACTAAAATGGCAAAATAATCATGCAGGAAAAACTACTAAAATCTACTGAACTACAGCAGCTTTCAGATCCATGAGGCTGACTCACCACCAGTAAATTACCTGGGAGGAAAAATACTGTAACAATCAACAGTGTTGTCACAGAACATGTTCACTCTCAGTATCATTTTCTTAGAAGACTCCTAGAATCATATAGTTTCATTTCTGATTTCTTTGAAGCTTACACAGCTTAATATTTATAAAATTTAAAAAAACCTCATATCCTCTAGACAGCAAGAGTCACAGACAGTACTACATTTAAAGAAACAGAAACTCACTAAACGCAAATACTAAAAATAAATATTGCTATGAAAAATCCTATTTGTGTAATATGCACATGTTAGAAATCATTCTGTCATTTCAACTAACCTGCTCAACTAGGATGTGGTGGAATCACTCTGTGCTGTTGTAATTACACTCAATCACATTCAGTCAAAATGTGTGAAAGCCAAGTCCCCACATCACACAGGTGTCTTGTAGAGAGTCACTTACATTCAAGTTCACCCAAGAGGCAAAAATATTAATGCTGCTACACTGCCATTTTAACAAAACTAAAGTGATTTACCTTTTGCAAGGCCTGCAAACACTTGCTAGTAGTGAGAACCAAACAATATACAGCATTAAGCCTAAGGAAGATGAACTTGCTTCATGGAACTATGCCTACATGGATTAATCTTCTAGAAGCTCTACAGGATTAATTTTTTGTTTTCTAAGCTACTAAATGAATTTATTTAATGGGGGAAGCAAGCTTTGAATATCCACTTTCAGATAAATACCTTGGGTTTTGGTCCACCTGTATCCACCCAGCATCATGTGAATGTGCTACTGTCCAACAGTTTTGCAGGTTGAGAAAACTACTGAGAACAAAAAGGACCTCCAAAAACTGTGCAAACTAATCGGCCTATTCAAGGAGAGCCAGCTATACAGCTGGCTACCCAGGATAGTGTCCGGGCAAGTTTTGAGAACCTGCAAGTATGGAGACTTCACAGTCCTCTGGGCAATCTATACCAGTGCTCGACCACCCTCATGATAACAAACTAGTCTTGCCTTATGTTTAAAGAGCATTCCCTGTGTTCTGATGTTTGCCCACTGCCACCTCTCCTGTCACTGGGCACCAGCACAAAGGGTCTGGCCTCCTCACTCTGGCCATTCAGATCTTCTGTACACATTGAAGAGACCTGTCCCTGACCCTTTTCTTCTTGAGGATGAGCAGTCCCGGCTCTCTCAGCCTTTCCACATGCAACAGATACTCCAGCCCCCTGACCGTGTTTGGCCTGCGCGGGACGCGGAGCCCGCAGGGCCGAGCGGCGCGGAGCAGCTGCCTGCCCTGCCCTGCCCTGCCCTGCCCTGCCCTGCTGCCCCCGCTGCAGCCGCCACTGCCGCTGCTGCCCCGCAGAGCAGCGCTGCTGCGAGGCAGCGGCTGTGTGGCGGGCTGGGGCCATCCCTCCCGTGCCCAGAGGGGCACAGCAGGGGCGGGCTGCGCTGGGCAGGGCACGGCTCTGTCCAGGCCGGCCCGGCAAGGAGAGGGCTGGGGTGTGCAGAGCAGGAATGGGATGGCTCTACAGGACACGGTTAGCAGGGCAATGCTGGAGAGAGCAGGGCGGGGCAGGAGCAGGGCAGAGAGGGGAGAAGAGAGCAAGGCTGGGCAGAGCTGGAGAAGGCTGGCGGGGCAAGGACGGGCTGCGCTGGTCAGGGCAAGGCTGGCCAGGGCAGGTCGGGGCTGGCCTGGGCAGGGAGGACAGGACGGCCCCGGCACGCCGATGTCTGCCCAGCGCCCCAGCGCAGCCCCCGCCGGCTGCTGGCACACGGCCACCCCGAGGCGCGGGTGTGCCCCGCCCCGGCGCACCTCACCGTGTATCCCCGCTCCAGCTCGCTCTCCTCGTATCGGAAGGACGGGATGAACACCTCCATGCCGCCTCTCCTCAGCGCGGCGGCAGCGCCGCCGCCATCTGCGCGCCCGTCACGTGACCACACGCCACGTGACAGGGGCGGGGCGGGAGACTGCCCGGCCCCGCCCCCACCCCCTCGCGCTGCCGGGATGAGGCGGGAGAAGATCCCCGTGGAAAAAACGTGGGTTAAAACAAACCGTGTTCGACAGCGTCGGCTTCTGGTTCAGCCAGAGCTGCAGCACTACTGCGGAGCACACAAAAAACGGAGGGGAAAAAAATTAACTTCCAGAGGGATGAGTTTATCCAGTCCAAAATTCACACCGCAGCTCAAACCTGAATCATAGAATCGTTAGGGTGGAAGGGACCTCTGGAGATCATCAAGACCAACCCCATGCCAAGGTAGGGTCACCTAGAGCAGGTGACACAGGAACACATCTAGATGGGTTTGGAGAGAGGGAGAGAGGAAGACTCCAGGCCCCTCTGAGCAGCCTGTTCTGGTGCTCTGCCACCCTCAGTGTAAAGTTCTTCCTCTGGTTGAAGTGGAATTTCTTGTGTTGCAGTTTATGGCTATTACTCCTCGTACTACTGCTGGGCACTACTGAAAAGAACCTGGCACCATCCTCTTGGCACTCCATTTTGAGATATTTCACCCCATTTTGAGATATTTGTATGCATTGCTGAGATCCTCTCAGTCTTCTCCAGACTAAACAGGAGAAGCTCCCACAGTCTCTCCTCGTAAGAGAGCTCGTATCATTTTTTTGGCCTCCACCAGACCCTCTTCAGTAGTACCTTGTCTTTCTAGTACCAAGACTAGAATTGAACAAAACACTCCAGATGTAGCATCACTGGAGCTCCCTACCCTGCTGGCCACACTGTTCCCAATGCACCCCGGGACACCACGGGCCCCCCTGGCCATAAGCTCATGGTCACCTTGGCATCCACGAAGACTCCCAGCTGCTTCTCCACAGAGCTGCTCTCCAGCAGGTCAGCCCACAACCTGTGCTGGCACTTGGGGTTATTCTTCTCCAGGTGCATGACCCTACATTTGCTTTTACTGAACCTCACACCACTTCTTGCCACTCAATGCTGCAGTCTGCCAAGCCCACTCAATGGCAGCACAGCCTTCTGCTGACTAGGTCAGTCAATAAACAAATGCAGCACCTTTAGTAGTGCCTGTTGTGAACAGACATGAAATTAAGAGCGGAAAAAAAAAGTGGCACTCAGGAAGTTCCCTGTGTTGTGTGTGTTCCCAAGAAGCCACCTCTTAACTTTGTTATTTAGCAGAGAAAACCATACCATTTCAGAGAACTGTAGGTGATTCCTAGCCACTGGAGAAATTAAATAAGACTCCAAAATAGGCAGCCGTTTTGACAGCTTAAAGAATAATGGAGGCAGAAACAGAAGGCCTCCTGTATACCAAGTGCATACAGGAGGCCAGGCTGTTGGCACAGGCAACTGCCTTGATTTCACACAAATTTGCCAATTCCAAGCTTCAAACCATTTGGAAGCGCTGCAAAATGTCAACAAACTGCCACTGTATTAGACAGTCATATCTTAAAACTCACCTTGTGAGTCCGGAGAGTTTCAGACACTACAACACTGAGACAACCTCACACTCTCACTGATCTTTTAGAGTAGCTACTGTGATAAACCCACGACCATAGAGGATTTGATCTTCATAAGTAGATTCAAGTATGAAAACATACCTCAAAAATGGGCAGAAAACAAATTTATCTGATGTCTGTGGTTTATGCTATGAGCTTTTTGAAATTTCTTTTGAAAACTAACTTGTTTATTTCCAGATTAATAGTACTGGAGAGGGCGAGGGAAAGGGAGAGGGAGAAGGCAAGGGAGAGTGGAACATTACTGTGGTGGTGAAACAGCAGGCCAAAGGTGTACAAACTGAATTCTGACTCGAGCCAACAGAAGCCATGAGAAAGCTGACAGCTCTTTGTGAGAAGAGTTCTGCAGCAGTGAAAAACAACTTGTTTTCCCTGAGAAAGAGCTCTAAGTCTGTGTGAAACAACCTGCATTCCCTGAGAAAGAACTCTAGGACTGTGATAAACACTAGCCACCTGTATAAACTGTTCTTACACCATTAGACAGAAAAATGAAAACTATCTCTCACCAAGAACTTTTCCTGCGCATACACCCCAGGAGTTTCAGTGACCAATAAATACAGGGTAACAACTTGTTACTGACCAGTTGGGGATAGACATGGGATGTTCTTTAAAAACTATAAAAAGAGATGTGCGAAATAAACCAAGATTGATCCTTTCCTTCTTTGCACCAGAAAAGCATGTCCTGCATCTTTACTGAGCACCACAGCAACACATTACACGCTCATTTCCCCTCCATTTCTCTTTATTTTACTGAAAGGTGAATTTAATTATATTTTGCTCTAAGCAAAGAACTGTGACTTGAAGGATGCAATACAAAGTAGACATCATATACTTCGTTAAGCTAAAGCCAAGTAACAAACCAAAATTTTTTAAAAATTACCTGAAGTCAAAGCCAGATATTTCTCAAGCATCTGTTTCTGCACAACACAATCCTGGGCCAGTGTCCTCAACTGCTGACAACCAGCAGGATGGTCCCAGCACTGCTTTGTGGTAGTAGTGACAAGAGAAATGTTTCCACCCCCTGTGTGCTCTCCATCATGCCCTTTTACTGAAAGGTATGTGAAATGAAATCCCATTCTCCCACAAAGAACCCACTGTTAAAGACATTACAGTAGTCCCGAGGAAAGATTAGCCATATGATAATAGTCTTATCAGTCTGGTAAATGTGGGCATACTAGGTAAAAATTACCATGCTATCATTACTGTTACTTTCTGGTTAAGAATCCAGTCTTTAGACATAGTTTCTGTTCTCCCTCTAATAAAAAACAGAGGAATAAGTCTTAGGATACCACTTGTGCCATACTGCATTTACACTGAGAAGTCAGTAGAAGAATTTCATAGGAGCACTGTTTGTGGCTGTTTGCAACCTAATAAGCAGTAATTTCAAAAAGATACTTTTCTCTTTAATATCATTAACAAAGAAAAGTTTTAGACATTAATCTGGTTTCAAATTCAATAGGATATAATGGAACTTTTGACTGTGCATCAGCCAAGAGGAACAAGGAAGATTACATGGTGAGCTGAATTCAAATACATCAATATGTTTTGGAATGTTAAATACTTAATTTACACAATATATCATCATTACTTGGCTAATCTTTAAAGTTACATCTGAAGAAAGAAAAAGGATTTCTCCCCATGGCCGGCTGGCCAAGATTGTCTTTCTGTCTAACACACCAAAGATCAAAAATTTAAGAAACATTAGTTCATAGAATGCTATCAAAGTGTGTTCAAAACCATCCAGGTCTTTAAAAGCTAACTGCACAGATGTTACAATAATTCTTCCCACAAAGCACAAAGCAAGGTGAAAATACTTCAAATGTAGCTTGACTTGAATTGGCATAACATGTATTAAAATTATGTTAGTAATCCTGAAAGCGAAACTGTAAAATGGTTGAACTCTACTGCTAACAGTGACATAGACTGTCTTCAAATTCATCTGTTGAGCAGACTCTCAAAAGTACTCTAGGAGGTGTTGGTCTTCAGTGCCGGGTGTTGTTGCACCTATCAATATCTTGGATTTTATTCTTAAATTACCTGCATGCAGAATATAAAATTAATTAATAATATACTGTAACTCCAGCTGTAACTGTTCCCTGTCATCAGACTCTACCTAACCATCTATAATTACAGAAACTGGGAATCACCAATCTGCCCCTTTTCTGGCCACTTCTATGTTTTACTTTTTTTTTTTCCAAAAGAATCACTGTGCAATTCCTCATACAGGGAGGGGGAGTTTAACATCCATCATGTTAGAATGATTCACAGGAGAGAAAAAGGAACAATTACAGGCAAATCTGAAAGATCACTTCCCACTAATTCACATGATTCAAGGACTTTCTGAATGGCTAATTTCCAGAATAAGCCCATACAAAAATTCTAATCTAAGTGATAAGTAAAATACACATCAAAACAAGAGGCCAAATCAAAAAACAATCCTTAATTGGAACACAATCTAAGTTTGTGAATTTTTCAATTGCTAAAAAGCTCATTTTAAGTCAGCCCACAAAATTCAACCACAGGTTAGTTGTTTATCTCTAGTCTTTTCTTGCCCTTCCATTTCCATTGCATATTTCTTTAACTTTAGTTTGCATATGAATATCCTAGGACAGGTCTGCCTACACTGCTTTGTCTGCCTACACTTCTTTCTTAATGAGAGAAAAAATATTTGGATTATTTTATCCCCCTCCCCTTTGTTAATAATTTCCTTATTGATCTGGTGTGCGGGAGGGGGAAGGGAAGGAATGACTTCAGCAGTAAAGTCAAAAGATTACTAGCAAGTTACAACCACTGCAATCACTATCATTAATTCAACTATGGAAGACAAGAATTTTAAAAAAAGGAGGAATTGTCTTAGCAGGTAACAAGTAACATTCTGAACAACCTGAAAATTCAGCTTCTAACCTGTTAAATTGCCTTTTTTTCCTCACATAGTGGACTCATATTTTGCCACAAGATTATTACATAGCCTGTTCTACTCTAAAGTGGAAGGAGAGAAAAAAATATAACCCCAAAGGCGTTTTTTTTTTCCTATTTATTTTTCCTTGAGACAATCATTTCACTGTACACATAATTTTAGTGGATGTTGCCTGTTCTCTTAAATGTACAGGACCTACCAGCCAGCAGCTCGTCTCCACAATTTGAAAGAAACTGACGTATTTGGGGCATGAACTCCACAGATGCTGAAACAAACTCCCATTTGAGGCTTTCAGAGGGAAATAACTTAGGAGAGGTAGAATAAAGAATAATTGATTGGGAAGCAGAATATTCTGTTTTAAAAGGGACAGTGATGGAAGAATTACAGACTTACTGTACACTGAATGTCAGCTTAAGAAAGAAATAGCAATGTCTTCAATTTGAGTCACTTCATTTTGTTTATATTTAATTTAACAAGGACCATGGACATGATGAATAGAAGAATTTGTTGCCAATATTTGCATTTTATTT